ACGAAACGTGTGAGGGGTGTGCCGAAATGGGTGTGGGGGACGCATGCGGCCGCGGGCACTGGGGCCTTCGGTGGAGCTCCCTATGGAGCCACGAAACGTGTGAGGGGTGTGCCGAAATGGGTGTGGGGGACGCATGCGGCCGCGGGCACTGGGGCCTTCGGTGGAGCTCCCTATGGAGCCACGAAACGTGTGAGGGGTGTGCCGAAATGGGTGTGGGGGACGCATGCGGCCGCGGGCACTGGGGCCTTCGGTGGAGCTCCCTATGGAGCCACGAAACGTGTGAGGGGTGTGCCGAAATGGGTGTGGGGGACGCATGCGGCCGCGGGCACTGGGGCCTTCGGTGGAGCTCCCTATGGAGCCACGAAACGTGTGAGGGGTGTGCCGAAATGGGTGTGGGGGACGCATGCGGCCGCGGGCACTGGGGCCTTCGGTGGAGCTCCCTATGGAGCCACGAAACGTGTGAGGGGTGTGCCGAAATGGGTGTGGGGGACGCATGCGGCCGCGGGCACTGGGGCCTTCGGTGGAGCTCCCTATGGAGCCACGAAACGTGTGAGGGGTGTGCCGAAATGGGTGTGGGTGACGCATGCGGCCGCGGGCACTGGGGCCTTCGGTGGAGCTCCCTATGGAGCCACGAAACGTGTGAGGGGTGTGCCGAAATGGGTGTGGGGGACGCATGCGGCCGCGGGCACTGGGGCCTTCGGTGGAGCTCCCTATGGAGCCACGAAACGTGTGAGGGGTGTGCCGAAATGGGTGTGGGGGACGCATGCGGCCGCGGGCACTGGGGCCTTCGGTGGAGCTCCCTATGGAGCCACGAAACGTGTGAGGGGTGTGCCGAAATGGGTGTGGGGGACGCATGCGGCCGCGGGCACTGGGGCCTTCGGTGGAGCTCCCTATGGAGCCGAAACGTGTGAGGGGTGTGCCGAAATCGTGTGACTGGGGCCTTCGGTGGAGCTCCCTATGGAGCCACGAAACGTGTGAGGGGTGTGGAAATGGGTGTGGGGACGCATGCGGCCGCGGGCACTGGGGCCTTCGGTGGAGCTCCCTATGGAGCCACGAAACGTGTGAGGGGTGTGCCGAAATGGGTGTGGGGGACGCATGCGGCCGCGGGCACTGGGGCCTTCGGTGGAGCTCCCTATGGAGCCACGAAACGTGTGAGGGGTGTGCCGAAATGGGTGTTGATGATGATGATGATGGGACGGGGCACTGGGGCCTTCGGTGGAGCTCCCTATGGAGCCACGAAACGTGTGAGGGGTGTGCCGAAATGGGTGTTGATGATGATGATGATGGGAGGGGGGAGGAGGCAGCGGGAGGAAGGAAGGAAGGAAGGAAGGAGAACGCGGGGCACCGTCTCTTCAAAACGAGGACCCAACACCACAGGATGGTTGGGAAAAAACGCTGGCGATTGTCGACCGAAAAAGCGCACCAACAAGCGCCAAAACGGAACGAAAACAAAGCCGCGCCCGCTCGCGGCGAGTCCAGGAGGAGGCGGCCAAACAAGGGGCGGGCAACGAGGCTCCGCCGCCCCCGAATCAGGCTCCCACAACCAAGCCCTGTATGTCCGTTTGTTGTGGTCGGAAACAACCTGTGATGCCCATCCCTTCCTGCGGTGTTGAAGCGTTGAAGTTTGTGTGTGGCCCGCAGCTCCGTCTCCCCGCGCGCGCTCGTCATCCGCCGGTTCCTGTCGCCTTTTTCGGGGTGCCCAGAATCATTCGCAACATCTATCGCGCTGCCCGGCGCAACCCGTTTTTCCAATTCAGCGGTTGAAGCCCAAGAATTATCCTGGCGAAGGACCCAACCATATGCAGTTGTGAGTATCGCAATTGTGAGTATATTCTTCGGTGGCGCTCCCTATGGGGCCACGAACCGCATGAGGGGCGCGCCGAAATGTGGCGGGGTACACAACGCAAAAGAATACTATAGATCTGATTACGAGAGAAAGAACGCGGGTGAGTCAGAGCGCGAGGGAATCTGAGTATGAATGGGTCTGCGCGCGAGTGAATATATTTGCATGAATGCGATCATGGAACCGCCTAGTGTAAGTGTCGAGCATGCCTGTCCGAACACACGTGACACTGGGCGTGGCCGCCGCAGGCAGCTTCCGCGGGAACCCCGACGGCAGCGTCCGCACGTCGCGACGCCCATGTCGGCACGCCTCTTGCGAGGATCGCGCCCGCTTTCGGCTCTTCTTTTCCTTCCTCTTTGCCCGCGCACTCCAAAATCCAAGGCTGCGGGCGCAGCGCAGCGCGGAGTCCCCGCGACGCGCGCTGGTCGCCCCGGGCGGGGTCCCAGCGACGCGCGCGGGTCGTCCGCTGCGCGAAGCAGAGAGAGCTGACTAGCTAACTGGCTGGCTGATAGCGGGCAAGTCTCTGACCGCTGGGCAGAGCGACGACGGGCGAACGAGGCGCCGGGCCCCCCGCAGCACGGAGTTCCCGCGACGCGCGCTGGTCGCCCCGAGAGGGTCCCAGCGACGCGCGCGGGTCGTCCGCGGCGCGAGGCCAAACAATTAGTCGGGCAGTCGAGAGAAGGCGCGGCTCGGGGGAGACGCTCCTCAGGTCAGGCCTCGCGGATGAACTCGGTGAAGCCGAGCTCCCTGGCGAGGGCCGTCGCTTCCCTCCTGCGCCGCTTCGCGCGCGCCGCAAACTGCTCCAGCTGCTTCCGCAAGCCCTGCGGCGGCCCTGAGAACTCGACGCGCGGCGCCCGCATGAGCAGGGGGTCCTCGTGGCGCGTGGCGCGTGAGAGCAGCGCGTAGAGCTCCAGCCACCAGTTGTCGTCCTCCTTCTTGCCGTTCCCTACCTCGTGGCGGCCGCTATCCAAGATCACGCCTGGGCGACGTCGACCGAGGGAGCAGCGCGCCGGGCAGCCGACGGCCCAGGGCGAGAGTCCACAGGACCGAGAGATGGTCTGGCCGCGGACTGCTCGCGCCCCGGAGGTCTGGCCGCCCCCGGAGCGCCGTTCCCCCGCCCCGTCGCCTTCGCGCAAGGTGCGCCCCTGGCACGCCACCGTGGTGATGACCCTGCCGTGCGAGAAATGCGGGGGGTGTGCCGAAATGGGTGGGGGTGACGCATGCGGGCGGCGGCACTGAGGCCTTCGGTGGAGCTCCCTATGGAGCCACGAAACGTGTGAGGGGTGTGCCGAAATGGGTGTGGGGACGCATGCGGCCGCGGGCACTGGGGCCTTCGGTGGAGCTCCCTATGGAGCCACGAAACGTGTGAGGGGTGTGCCGAAATGTGGGGGTGTGGGGGACGCATGCGGCCGCGGGCACTGGGGCCTTCGGTGGAGCTCCCTATGGAGCCACGAAACGTGTGAGGGGTGTGCCGAAATGGGTGTGGGGACGCATGCGGCCGCGGGCACTGGGGCCTTCGGTGGAGCTCCCTATGGAGCCACGAAACGTGTGAGGGGTGTGCCGAAATGGGTGTGGGGGACGCATGCGGCCGCGGGCACTGGGGCCTTCGGTGGAGCTCCCTATGGAGCCACGAAACGTGTGAGGGGTGTGCCGAAATGGGTGTGGGGGACGCATGCGGCCGCGGGCACTGGGGCCTTCGGTGGAGCTCCCTATGGAGCCACGAAACGTGTGAGGGGTGTGCCGAAATGGGTGTGGGGACGCATGCGGCCGCGGGCACTGGGGCCTTCGGTGGAGCTCCCTATGGAGCCACGAAACGTGTGAGGGGTGTGCCGAAATGGGTGTGGGGGACGCATGCGGCCGCGGGCACTGGGGCCTTCGGTGGAGCTCCCTATGGAGCCACGAAACGTGTGAGGGGTGTGCCGAAATGGGTGTGGGGGACGCATGCGGCCGCGGGCACTGGGGCCTTCGGTGGAGCTCCCTATGGAGCCACGAAACGTGTGAGGGGTGTGCCGAAATGGGTGTGGGGGACGCATGCGGCCGCGGGCACTGGGGCCTTCGGTGGAGCTCCCTATGGAGCCACGAAACGTGTGAGGGGTGTGCCGAAATGGGTGTGGGGGACGCATGCGGCCGCGGGCACTGGGGCCTTCGGTGGAGCTCCCTATGGAGCCACGAAACGTGTGAGGGGTGTGCCGAAATGGGTGTGGGGGACGCATGCGGCCGCGGGCACTGGGGCCGGTTCGGTGGAGCTCCCTATGGGGCCTTCGGTGGAGCTCCCTATGGAGCCACGAAGCGTGTGAGGGGTGTGCCGAAATGGGTGTTGATGATGATGATGATGGGAAGGGGGGAGGAGGCAGCGGGAGGAAGGAAGGAAGGAAGGAAGGAGAACGCGGGGCACCGTCTCTTCAAAACGAGGACCCAACACCACAGGATGGTTGGGAAAAACAGCCAAATAGGATTGTTGGAATAACTCTGCCGTTGGAAAATCGAAATTGGCCATGAAGTGAATGTGTACGTGTAGTCAGGTCGTGCTTCAAATAATGGAATTTGCGTCACCCCGCAGCGATGCGCCCGTCAACTTCACATGCGCGCTGGTCTTGGAAAGTGAACTTCCTGCCCAGGCACTGCTGTGCAAAGCAAACGCTAATATGTTCACCCGCATGGTGGGGTCGGAAATAGACTCTGGATGTGTACGGGGTCTTCGGCGACGCTGATTGTGCAAAATGTTGGTTCTACCTGAATACAATTCAAAACCTACTTTGCAAAGCATGCGCTGGACTTGTGTAAAAGATGTCCCGAAAAAGGAGGACGTCATCAGCGTATCAAAGATTCGTCAGGTCAGCGCCGGCAAAACTCAATCGGATGCCACTTTTTCGTCTCGACCATGTCGGTTGCAATCTCCGGGAAACGCTCTCCAACAACGAGTTGAACAATGTGGACTTCAACGGGTCACCCTGTTTGGTACCGCGCTGTATTTGAAATGACCTGCTCTGCTTTTCAGCCGAAACGGTCGCCGTCTGATGGGTGTACACAAGTCGCAGATTTGCGATGCAATGCTCTGAAACCCCTGGTCCTTCAAAGCTTTCCAGAATTCGCGATGTGACACTGTGTCAAACGCCTTCTTGAAATCTAGCGTTGATGTCCATGCAGGAGGCTGTCATCATTGAGTCTTCTTTTGTACCATGGTCAACGTAAGCAGATGGTCACCAGTGGCAGAATGATGCCAGAATCCTGCTTGATCACGAGGTTGTTGCAGATCAAGTTGATGTGCAAGTCGACTGTGAAATAATCTGCTGATTAACTTATCTAAGAAAATAATAATTGCAATTGGGCGGTAATTCTGCGGCTGGGATGGGTCACCTGCCTTGTACACCACCGCGATGTTCGTTCGGCGCCATTGCTCGGGTGCCTCCGAATTCGGTTTCAGCACGTCGTTGTACAACTTAAGCAACGTCTGCTCGGGCGCTGGTCCACCAATCTTCAGCATCTCTGCCAACATGCCTGACTTGTCTGGAGCTTTTCCGTTCTTCAGCTGCTTGAGCGCTGCCTTGAGTTCCGGTAGCGAAGAACCTGGATCTGAAGGCCGAGCTCCAACCTCAATCGCACTTGGCGGCAGTCCGTCTGGAACGCAAGATCAGGCTGGACGGCCAGCAAGCTGGACTGGTCCACTCGAAGCCGAACACTGGACCCCTCCTGGAGTCCATAACATAGCAAGTTACGCCAGGGATCGATGTCTGGCAGTCCTGGGGCCCGCAAACGACCTCCAGACGACGAAAACCACGAGCAAACTCGACTTCCTCAAGGAGGAACGTCAGGGGGGGACCGTCTGAGGGGGTGGGGGGGAAACATTGAGCTGGAATCGGCGATGCCTCGCCGATAGACCGGCGTCAGGCCCCGAATAAAGAATCCCACACATTCCTGGGCGGCGTGCGCCATCGGGCCCCTATCGGCGATGAATGGCCGATTGGAGGTCAATGCGTGCCCCCACTGAGCCGATCCCCCCTAACTCGCCATCGTTCGGACGTCCGTTCACTGTGCACGTGTCGGTTTCGTGCATGATTTTTGCTGGCCCGATGGTCGAGGATGATCCTCGAAGGTCCTCGCCCAGAAAAAAATGCACACGTCCGAGTGATGCCGAGCTAACGTTGCCCCTGACCGGGGAGGACGACGGACGAAGTCGACGCCGACGCAGACGCCGACGCCGACGCCGCCGACAACGGCGACGACGGCGACGACGAAGCTCGACGCCGACGCCGACGCCGACGCCGACGCCTCCGCCGCGGCCGCCGACGCCGACACCGACCCCGGGAGAACCGGCGATGCTCCTCGAGCTGCCCAAGGAGCCGCCGCGGGTGGGGAGAGCCGTCCAGGTCCCCCGCGAGCCGCTCGAGCTCGGGGAGCAGGTCCTGGCAGGCCTCGGGCGAGGCCAGGGATCGGGAGATCGAGGGGTCGAGGGCGACTGCAGTCGGGGCGTGGGTCTAAGGAACCCCTAAATCAGGAACGAGGCCCCCTTTCTCCCATGAAGTCAAACTTCGACTTCCCATGGAAAGCCTCAGGAAAACCAGAGGCAAACTGTGAGACAATCAAGGAGCACCGAGCCCCTCCACAATAAAAAGGCTTCCTTCTTCAGCGCCCCGACGGTACCTACCAGACCACCCCAACGCAACCCGAAGCCCCGAATTTCAGGTTGGGGGGATTCGGTTTCCGTATGTGTTTTTGCAAGTCGTTCCCAGAGCCCCACCCCCCCACTAGGAATGGAGGGCGGATTGGGGCCTGCGGGTTGGGCTGGGGTGGTTTGGTGGGTGGTGAGAGGGGTCGAGGAGAAGGAGGACAAGGAGGCCGTCGCCGTCGTCGTCGAACGTGAGCTCGGGGAATGACCCCGTGCTCCTGAGACGCCACAGACTCTCGTCGGCGGTGGAGAAACCTCCCTTTAGCAAACCTCCATTGAGTCAAAACGGCCTAGGACCGAAACCGACGGACCCGGACCCGCAAAAAAGAGACGGCCGCGACGCGCTCTCGCGAACCGCAAACGGCCAATTCGCTAATCGACGTGTCAGGGTAGGTCCACCAACCTCCGATCTCAGAGGAGAGAGGCCAGGGACCAAGAGGCGAGGGGGGGGGCCTGCCCACACGAGCCAGGCTCGGAGATCGGCGACCGCGGCTGCCTCCCGAGCCTCCGTGGCCCCCCCTCTCGGAGGCCGGAGGAGGCAGGAGGGGATGCGGAGGCGGGCGAGGAGGAGGCAGCTCCCGTGCCTGCTCCTCCCTCCTGCTCGTCCTCCGTCCTCTTTCTCCGCCCCAGCACTGTCCCCCTCCATGAGCACACCATATGAATTATATATATATATATATATCACAACAAAAAATACTACTCTCCTCTCTCCCCTGAGGACGTCCGGAAGATGTTCAGCACCCCCCTCCGCGCACTGTTATTTTTACACGCCGGACCCCTGCTTCGCTCGGGCTTCTGTCTCAAAACGCTGCTCACACCCAGACGCTGGCCCCATTCTGCGCCTCGGGTTGTTCCAAACCGTGCTCCCGCTGCAGCGTGGGCGCGTTCGGTCCTTCCGAATAGGGCCCCCAAAAATGTAGAAAACTGCCCCCCAACAAAAAAAACATCGGAAGGAATTACACAATTCGTGTCGATTCGTTGATGCCTGGGCCGCAGAAGCCCCTCCACTTTGGGGCGTCGTGAGTTTCTGAAAATATCAAGCGGAAGCCCCATTTCTGCTTTGAGGAAGCATTGCTGGAAGCAGGGCCAGCGGGTGCTCTCCATCAGCCCCGCCTGTTGTGGAGCTTTTCGGGGAGCGCAAGGATCCAGACATGGAGCCACGACTCCAGACCAGCCCAGATCTCTTGAAGACAATCCATCTACCCTCCAAGGAACCTGTCGTGCTCTTCCACGCCATGCCATGCCGTGCTCTAGCATGCATCGCGTATCCTCTGAGATCATTGCCCTGCTCGTCATCCGACTGTGCGAATAGAGAGGACATCTACGCCATGGTCAGGGATGGGAGGGAGGGGTAGGACGTCAGATATGACGCGAGCGCACCTAGCTTGTCCTGCTCCATGACTCCCCGTTCCCTCATCCTCCCACTCCACGCCCCCGCCTCCTCCTTCTCCTACCCCTCACCCAGCATCCTTCATGTTGAAGCAAAGCGAACTACCCTCGTTGCTTGCGGCCGTGAAAAAATGCTAAGAGGGATGTGCGCGCTGCCAGGGCGATGCCCACATTGTGAGAAAGCGTACCACCTCCCTCCCATCCCTGTGACTGCTGGAAAACGTGTCAGACGAATGTGTGCAGCGCCAAGGCGAGAGCCACAATCTGAAAACCACCCGCCTTCCTTTTGAAAAACTGTTGGTAATATGGGGTTTCGGGAACGTTTCGGGACTAGAACGGGAAGCGCCGCTCCTCTGAGCTTGCGTGCGCACGCGCGCATGGATGTGCAACTAACGCGCATGCGTGCACATGGATGCAGTCGATGGGCTCCCCTAAATGCCCAGATGGTCGCCGTTGGTAGCTCGTATTTGGTGGTTGCCTGCGGTTGCTTTGGTCAGGTGTCGCGCGTGGCCTATGCTTGTGTGCGTATCTGCATGTGCATGTGTGCACATGTGTGTGTGTGCCTGTGTGCGCCTGTGTGTGCGGCTGAGTGTGTGCGTGTGTGCGCGGGCGTGTACAGGGTCTGTGCCAGGGGGGCGGGGGGAAAGGGTGCACGGTGTGCGTACGGTGCGCGTGCCTGGCGGGCGGGCGGGGGGGGGGTACGGTGCGCGTACGGGGTGTGCCTGGCGGGCGGGCGGGAGGGGCGCAGGGTGTGCGTACGCTTTGTGTTTAGTTTACGTGGGATATTGTTTACGTGGTGTATGCTCTATATGGGCACTCATGCGCTGGGAGCGTGTTGTGCTCCTCCTCCTCCTCCTCCAACTCCCTCACCAACTCCTCCTCCAACTCCTCCTCCTCCTCCTCCTCCTCCTCCTCCTCGTCCTCGTTTGTTCGAGGATGTCTCGAGCGAGAGCCTCATGTTGAACGAAAGGCGTCTCAAACATACGATTTCAACCTCTCAATGTTTCGGGGATGTCTCAGGCGAAACGGCCATATTCGTGCGCCCCGACGTCTCACGGCGGGCTTGCGAGCGCAAAGCCCCACGCGTGGTCATGCGTGGGCATGCGCGCCGTGCTAGCCTGCTAGCTTCGGGGATCTTCTGACCCGGGTCAATCCAGACCCGGGTCAGCAGGAAACCAAAAACTGCAATGCAGGAAAAAAAACTGCAACGCAGGTCTTCGCAAACCCGGGTCAGCCAATATGTGCGGCCGCCTCGCGGCCACGAGCGGCTCCCAAACCCGGGTCAGCCAGAGGGAATCTTGGCAGGATCCTGCAGGATCTGGCGCCCTGGCTGACCCCCGTCTGGATTGACCCCCGTCTCAAGGCTCCCGATAGCTGCTAGCGGCGTAGACAGAAGGGGTCGGAGGCGCATCTCGCGGAGAGGCGCCCCCTCCCCCAGCTGTGGGTGCCACTTGCGCCCCGACGCCTCGCGCTGGGTTTTCGAGCGCGTGTCCTCTCGCATAGAAATACGCGTCCTGCCAGCGGCACAGACAGAAGAGCCGACTACCTGTGCCGCCGGCAGCCCGACGTCCAGCGGCGGACTTGCGAGCGCGAGTCCGTGATCACAAAAAGGGGGCCAGAAAGAAGGAGGGAGGAAGAGAAGGAGAGCTCTCACTGCCAGGCAGAAAGAGGGAGGAATATGACAATGATGATGGTGATGATGATGATGATGATGATGATGATGATAATGATGATGATGACGATGATGATGATACTAATGATAAGGAAGCTGATGAAGGTTGGAGCGCCCTTGAACAATATTGGAGCTCTCGTGGGCCCCTCTTGGACACTCTCGATTCACAAGATCCATGGATACCTTCGTTGTTCGAGAACTCCTCGAGCGAGAGCCCCATTCTTGAACAGAAGACGTCTTGAAGCCGCTCGTCCATCATACCATGTTTGTCGAGGATGTCTCGAGCGAGAGCCTCATGTTTGAGATTTCGACGAATTCGCAATATCCCCGGAGATCTCATTTGTCTGAGGATGTCTCGAACGGGAGCCGAATGTTTTAACATTAAGCGTCTTAAATCACATCCTTGAAGATCTCACTTGTTCAAGAAAGTCTCGAGCGAAACGGCCTTGTTGGGGGGAACCTGACCAGACAAGAACGGGAAGCGTCGCTCTTGTCCACTAGGTATGTTAAATATGCTGTTTTGTTGGTCTGCCGCGCAGATGTGTCGTGGCGTGCGTGCGTCTGCGCGAGCGCGTGCGTGCATGGAAAATGTGCGTATGTGTCCGTGCGTGGTGGCCTGCGGTACTGCTGTGTTATGCCGTGTTGTTCTGCCGCGCTCCTGCGGTCTGCGTGAACGTGTATTGCCTCTCTGTGTGTGTGCGTGTGTGCGTGTGTGTATGTGTCTGTGTGAGCGTGTGCGTGTGCGTGTGCCTGTGTGCGTGAACCTATGTGCGTGTGCCAATGGGTGCAGTTCTGTGAATACATGTTATGTGTGTTCTGCCGTGCTCCTGCATGTTCTGCCGTGCTCCGTTGTGTTCTGCCGTGCTCTTATGTAGTATGCCATGGTCCTGCTCTGCCGTGCTCCTATGTATTCTGCAATGTTCCTGTGTGTTCTGCCGTGCTCCTGTGTGTTCTGCCGTGTTGCTGCTTGTTCTGCCGCGTTTCCATGTGTCTTGTGTGATCCGACGCGCTCCTAGGTGTTCTGCTATGCTCCTGTGTGCTCTGCCATGATCCTATGTATTATGTCTGTTCTGCCGTGCCCCTCGTGATCCTGAAGGTTCTGTCGCGGTCCCATGTGTTATAGTTATAGTTATAGCCGGGGCCTTAAAGGCGACAAGAAAACGGGGACAGGGCCAGGCGGGACCAAAGCTCCCGAGAGACGCCGGGCCCCAAACCAGCAAGCCTCGCGCGCCTACTCACACAGGAGCAACAGACGCGGGCAGACAGCGGGAGGGTCTTCAATCACTCCCAGACGACTGCGAGCCGCGGCGCGCCAAGCGGCGGCAGACCCTACGGCCCACCAGTCCGTCACTGGGCGCTGGCTCCGCGGCCGCGGGCTCCCCTACGTCGGCGCCGCCTGCGCCATGGGGCCCAGCGCTCGGCCCTGGCCGCTGCTGGGGCAGGCGGCCGCTGCCGACTCAACTACATCCCGCCCTGCCGCTGGAGCCGCTGGGCCGCTGCCCGAGCTGCTGGCCGCGGTGGAGGCTCCGCCAGTCGGCTCCGCCTCCATGCCGACCCACTCTAGGCACCGCTCCTGGGCGTGACCTGGCACTGGTCCTTGCGAGCGCAAGGCAGGGATGCCCTCTGCTCTCGCCCTCTGCCTGTCCTCCCGCGGCCTGCCACCTGGGCGGGGCCCTCGTTCCCAC